GTCTCCTTCTCTGGAGATATTCAAGACCCGCCTGGACACGGTCCTGTGCAGCCTGCTCTGGGTGACCCTGCTTTGGCAGGAGGGTTGGACTAGATGACCCACAGAGGTCCCTTCCAACCCCTACTGTTCTGTGATTCTGTGATTCTGTGAGATACTGGGGTCTGTCTATTAGTGTGTTCGGTTTCGGTCTATTACAGCGAAGCACAAATAGATTTATATTCTTTTTATCAAAAGTCCCAAATCTCACCCTGTGCTCAGCTGTCAGATACAATCACAAAGCGAAGACACTCCCCCGAACTGCCTCACTGCAAGACTGGAAACCAGCTGCAGCGTGTTGATTTCCCACCATCCCCCTACCCGATCTGAAAAATTCAGTTTCTAGATTCTAGACCAGCTCATTCTCAGCTGCCTCTCGGGCAGATTCAAGGTGCCCCAAACAGAATCACAGATTCACAGAATAGTAGGGGTTGGAAGGGACCTCTGTGGGTCATCTAGTCCAACCCCCTGCCGAAGCAGGGTCACCCAGAGCAGGCTGCACAGGACCTTGTCCAGGCAGGGGTTGAATATCTCCAGAGAAGGAGACTCCACAACCTCCCTGGGCAGCCTGTTCCAGTGCTCCGTCACCCTCAGAGGGAAGAAGTTCTTCCTCATGTTCAGACAGAACTTCCTGTGCCTCAGTTTGTGCCCACAACTCCAACAACATGGAGGAAAGCAGACTGTAAAGGACAATACACAAAGCAGCACAAAAGCCTCGAATGTTATATTTAAAGTGACTTTATTAAAACATTGTTAATACAAAATGTGACCAAGTACAATTTTTTTTGTAAGAATGTTTGATAAAAACATATTCAAGAAAGAAGGAGCATCAACTCTTGTCAAAGCACAGGAAAAAACCTACCAGGATAAGTAAAAAGTTCTGCAGCATGTTCTACCAGCTGGTCCCAATGTGTATCAGGGTCGAGTTGGCCGAGGGAAGAGAGAGGCAGCCCAGCCCTTCCCTAAGAAGCTGTGCGGTATTTAGAGGAGGTTTGAGATCCCGCTCCCCAGCAGCAGGAGACCGGGCTTTCCGATCTCCCCGCATCAAAGCAAGACGGGAATGGGCACCCTCATGCTGGATTTACAGCTCTCCAGCAGCTGAACGTACAGAAAAGCGGATTTAGTGGTAACAGTAAACCCTGGGGTTAATGTTTGCGGGCGCTGAAATGAAGGTGCAAGTCAATACTGATTATTTGCCTAAAGGATTCGTGCTGAAGTTGGCCCGAGCTCTATTAATGCTGGATGCTTGTAGCAACCACTAAGAAAAGGTCAGCTAAGAGAACACCAGCAGGAAAATCCAGGCTGTACTTTCTGAAGCGCCGAATGCAGAGGTAACATTCACCAATTACCGGGGTTTGTACATCTCGGGAAGCATGGAAAGCAGCTTTCAGAAGTCTGCAAATCAGGCTACGCAACGACTTCTACTCTGTGGCAATCTTCCCCTTTAGCCAAGAAACCTTTTGAGAAAACACTAGAAAAACAGGAGGTTTATGGGCTTGGTGGCTCTATTTTTTTGGAGGTGGGAGTAGCTTACAGCATTTTCCTTGATCGACAGGGGAGTTTTAATGCTCTGTCAGATCCTCTGCTTGCTCGGCGCAAGCAGCACACCAGCTAGAGGCACGGATTCTCAAACTCTTCCTGTAACAGGGAGAAGAAAATCCTGCGGCATCCAGTCCCGGCAGTTTAACAGCGTCAGGTGCTAATCCACGAGAAGCCCAGCACGACCGCGGTCTAGGAGACGGTGACCTCCTTACAGCCCTGGCCGGGACCCACTGCACCCATCAGAGCCCTGTGTTTTTACCTTCTACCCCAACAAATGCTACGGGACGACCGGTGAGGTAAAGGGAAAGGTCAGACCTTTGGCATTGGAGGCAGCCCAGTCGCTGGCTGCGCATAGGGGGAATTAAGGCTTCAAGGTGAGGTAAACACAGTGAGAGTCAGTGTGTAAATCATGCTGCATTTCAGAGACGACAGACTCAAACCACAGCTAGTCTCGTTCTCTACATTTTAAACACCAAAGAAAGATCATTCGGGACAGAACTGGAGGCAAGGCTGCCGAGGGCCACCTCGAGACGCCTCTCCGCACCTCGGGACCAAACGTCACCCAGATGTGGAACGCCGAAGAGAATGTACCCACGAGGAGGAAAAAGCACCAAAGTCGACGAGTCCTTGAGACGACAAGCTGCTTAAAAAACAAAGAAGCCTTCTTCTGCTGTGACCTCCCACAAACATGGCGGTTTCCCGACAGAAAGGTAATCTACACGCCAGCGACTCCCAGTGCTGTACTGGGAGGCTGCTGTACTCCGAGGAGTTACGCTCTAGGAAGGAGGCAGCGAAATCAGGCTTGCGTTCCCTGAAGAGAGTTTCTCCCACGCGTCCGGTGTTGTCCCATTCCCCTCCACCCGCCACCAAGTCTTTAACCCAAAGACCACAAACACCCGCCATTTCCCCAGGTCATTTCTGTAACACTCTCGGGTTGTTTTAGCAGGTCGGTAGGGTACAAACACAACGCTTCTTTGGATCCATCGTTTTGGCAATGCCTGTGCCCTCTTCAGAGAAAAAGCGTTTTCAAAGAAGTGGTACAAAAGTCACTTTCAAACTACATGAAATATAGAAATTAATGCGATTCTTCTGTATGTCTATTTTTCATACTGTTCTTGAGAGTTGTCTGAAGTATGGAATTCTTTGCTCATTTGGACCCACTGCATGTACAACACTATTTCTTACAAGCCGTGCTAGCAAGGTTTCGACTGAAAAGAGCGATCTGATCCTGCAGGTTCCATTTCTAGGACATGGAGACTCTCCTTTGTTTTTCTTTAACGTGTACGGTAACTTCTCCCATCCTCTCAATACAGTAGCTACTAAAAATTTTAACAGATATTAAAAAAATATTCAAATGAAACCACACTTCTATCACTGTTTAAAAAACAAAAACGCGTATGGTATTACAAAAGTTCATACAAAAGCAACATTGAAGAGTTTGAAAGTTACTTCTAGAAAAAGACACAAATGCTAGTAAATTAACATACATGGAGGAAGGTACTCCACTCCTTCCCCAAAATTTGTTTGATCTATTCCGAAGTATCTTTTACCAGTTGTCTAGAAAATCAAAGCCAGTCTTCAAGATTACATTGCTTGTACTAGTCTGCAAGGAGAAAGAAGAAATAAGATGTGGTTGTTAATTCTGGTATTACAAACTCAGTACTTGTCTGCCTATCTACAAAAGAAAGTTTCAAATGTTGTCTGCCAATATTTCAAGTTCTTCACCTCGCTCCGGGGTACCTAAGAACCTACCCCAGAAAATGCTACACGTGGAAAAATACTGACAATGACCAAGAAGGCAATTCCAGATAAAAATAAAATTCTCGTAGTGGTCTGCAGGCAAAACGTTATTTTTTTTTTTCCCGTGGAAAAAATCATGAAGGTCAATTTTTAGACTAGAGTGGGAACTGCAGAGAAGGAAACACAGAATGCAAACACCACTAATTCGATGGATCGCCCGTTGCAGTGACAGCCGGTTGTTTCCAGAAAACCACACAGGTTAAACTGTGTCAGCAAGTTATTTATTCGGCTATCAAGAACACGCTCACTCCTGCAGGGCTGCACTTTGAGCCGTGATATTTAAGGTGATATTAGTGGTCAGGAAGACTATTCAAGGGACAGAGCTGAGTGTCTGGATTCTCCTCCTAGAGCATGGCGCTCTTCCCCAGAACAGGGAAGATAACACAGGAAACTAAGAAAATTCTATCACGCTGTCTTCTCTGCTACTCCGTTCTCCACAAGGAGAAAAAAAAGCCAGGCTTTTCAAACTATTTCAGTTAGCTGGAAAACATTTGCAAAGGAATGAAAACTGTAACAAACCATTAATTTGTAGGAAAACATGATAAAGCCTTTAACTAAAAATAAAGGACTACCGCGGTCACGATTTGCAGCAAAACAGCTCAAGAAGAATTACGTCTGAGCTTCTGAAAAAAATAACTAAACACAGGGCTCGAAATACTGAAGTGGCTTAAGTATTGTTCTCTCCTAGGTGCTCCCACTTACTACTTCTTGCAAGTATTTACCTCACCCTGCATCTTTCTGACCTGAAATTATCTTGTTCGGAATTTAGACAATCACTGTTGGGAAAATACGGTAGAGACAAAGCTGTGAGACACCAAGCTTGGGTTGTACAGTAACTCGTCAGGCTCATGCCAGAGTGACACTACGGACTCCACACAGAGCTCTCCCTGAAGGACCACCCCTCTTCTCTGCTTCACAGCTTCCAGGCTTCAGATTTCCTCCTCTCCTTTCCCTCACTCTGTCATGTCCTGTCGTTCCCTTTCTTTTCTCACAGGTCAGCATCTGCTTTTTCAATAGCTGCAACTGGCTAGCGAGCTGCTTAAGGTTATTTTTTTGTTGTTGGGTTGTTTGAGTTTCTTTATTAAAAAAAACATTGAGAAGGCTAATTCTGGAAGCTCATTCCATTTCCATTTTGGACTTTAAGAGAAAACACATTTGCAAGCAGCCCAGCTGCCTGGGACACAGCACTGGGAAGCAGCTCTTGGGCTACCGCTTAGAACGGCGGAAAAACTAGTTAGCCACTCACCGCCACGCTGGGTGTGCCAATGCAGTATCCTGGCCTCTAGCTTATCTACTTACCAAGCTAAAAATCTTCTTTTTTTCCGTTAAGTGTTTTGCTGTTCCAAGGAAAAAACCACCCTCTTTTACTTGACATAGCAAGCTCTTTACCCCAACCTGTTAGGCAGCCTGCTGTCAGGAGCCACTGGATGCCACACCGG